CGTGTATGAATAGAATATGCAAGATTCTTTTTGGCCGTTCTAGCAATACATTTATTAAGGTGATCGCTCGCACATTCAATGGTATTTTCACGGATAAACACCAAGGAGTTGCATACAGTGCAATAAATATTAAATGAGCGTCTCCCAGCTTTAAATTCCCATCTATATATGACCTTTCAATCATCTGGATAAACCCATTCTTTGAGAAGTATTTTGGGTTATATTCGAGAAGTTTCTTGAATGGATAACAAACACGAGAACACCACATTTCTGGCGTTTCACCACTATACCTATATTGTAGATTGTTTAATGCTTACACAACTACAGGATTTAACCAGAATAGTTGTTAGTTTTAACCATTTTACGACTTTATAGCAATTTATAGCAGTTTAGTGATTTATAACGATTTAGCAATTTCAGTGATTTATAACAGTTTGTAACAAGTATACTATAATAAATATCAGATTCATTTTTATTCGATTATCCCTATATAATGATTCGGTTAAATTAGACCCGATCTCTATAGACGGCTAAATTATACACAGCACCTTAACGGCCGGCTAAAATTTGTATCACATATGATCCTCCCTAGTTCCTAGTCAGTTCCCGGCACTTCCTCGCAACCTTACTGCAACTCAAATCACGAGATGATCAACCCTTTTTTGAAGCCACGATTTTTTTTTTCACTTTGATGCGTGACATACAAGTCACGGACGCAGTAATGAAGCGCAGTAATAATTATCTACGAGCAGAATTTCGTAATGATATCAGCGATCAATTTATGGGCACAGTAGTCAGCGAACTTGAACATTTACAGTATTAGTAACTTAACCGATCAATAGCACCCACATTAAAAAATACAAGTCCATTTTGGGCGATACTCAATTGTAGGAAATTGTGCTAATGCCTTTGCTGTATTGTTTGTAATAAGAGATATAATCTTATGCGCAAATCCAGCACAAATAGTACTGCGCATTTATCAATCGCTTGAAATTTTTCCAATGCATCACACCCCATACTATACATACATGATTAAAACTAATACGAGTAAAACTTTATTATTGTATTAAATGCATCAAAGCAGTATAAAGTGGTACGATATTAAAATAATATTTCCTTTTTCGCAATACACAAATCACCCAACCTCCGTTTCTTGTCATGAAAGTGAAGGGGACAGAGTAAATTGTAAGTTAATTAATTCGATTGTTTTCTATTTGCTGTGGGAGTCAAATCGGTGTGCGTAATAAATAGGCCTGCGTTTCCATTATCATCCGGTGTACGAGTACACGCATCTTGAATATAATCTTTCAGATCAGTCAAACTCTCCTCAAGTAACTTCTAGTAACAAAAAATTTCGCAAGATAAATGTGAGAAACTAATGGAATGTGATTGATTTAGAATGAAAACAAACCCTGAATTTTAGCAATGCCGGTACTGATCGTAACAATAATCCCACTTCAACCTCATTTGTTGGCAGTTTTGACCGTAAAACTTCACAGAAAACGTATAATCCACCAGAAGGTATTGACATTTCGTACACTATTATCTCATTATCTGTACGAAGTTGGAGAATGTTAATCTCGTAAAATATATATCGTTTTCAGAATTGGAAGTACTTACAATAAACATGTAGGCCATACAATTTTAATGAAGTCAAATTAATGCCCACACTACCGTACTTTCTTACGATCCTATTAAGGATCACCTTCAACATTTTGGCGATCTTTAATTTATCGTTAAAAAAATGGGTATGGTTGTGTTGGTTTGGGGGACCACTAACTTCGCATATGGAAAACTCAAGGTCGGTCGGTTTCATAGACCAGATGATGTCTATTTTTCGGCCAGCACTACGATCTTCCTCATCGTTCTTTTCCAAATTGCGATCCTCTGATGAGGCGAACAGACACTTTTCACCACTAGACAAACACACGTTATAAAGAAGAATTAAGATCATATCACGTGCTATTCAATACTCACAAAAAAATATTCATTTCCCGGTGCATTCCACGGAATAGACTACGCATTAGGGGTGCGAGGAAGATTTCCCGATATCCTAACTCAGATAAATTATATTCTGCGAGATCATTGTTTCGTTCAAATGATTCAACACTAAAGAAAAGAACTTGAATGGTAAGATATAAGTAGAAAAACACATTTGTCAAAATGGTTCTTACAGGATATTCAAATAGTCCCATATGAATTTCGTATTATTGTTTATTCGTGTTTTCATGTAGCTTTCATCTACAAGCTTACGAAAATCTTTCGCCTATATTGCAAGTCATATTAGTTAAGAGTATGAAGCAAAGCAACAGGATATTTTGGCATTATAGAATTTGTATCTAGCAATACCTTAATAAAGTTAACAATATATTTTTTCATGCCATCCGTATCGTCCATTTTTAACTGTTGGCAATGTTTTGATTGCCTTATTTCGCGTACTACATCAATGGGTAATGATCGTACGAAATCACTATTTGATCCTGGTGTGATGTCTACTATGTCGTAGAATCCCAAACTAAAATTCCGGCATTTGAATCAGATGTTTAAACTTATGCATCTCAAACACAAGTATTTACAAAAATACTTACTCAGTACGCGGTCGAGCTTTCTTTTGTTTCCATTTAGTTAATTCATTACACAAATCAGTACCACACACAATCCATTTCTCTTCATCGTCCCGGATTGACTCCTTGGCATATAACTCTAGTTCTTCATCATTTTTGACCATCCTATTTAAACAATAACATGTGAGAATTAATGTTTTGCAATTGCTAGTAAATAATCACGAATACCTTTCTTCATCATTTATCACTTTTGAAGACTCAGAGGAGTCAGTTCGCGGTATTATCTGATGTGCCAACTCGCTATAAACGTTACTAGTTGGGTTTTCCTGTCCAGCAGAAAACTAATGTAGTTATTTCATGGAGACTAGTCAATAAAATAACTAACTTACCTCCTTCCGAGCTTTTTTTGAAGCAGATGAAGAAGCTCCATCCTCATCTTCTTCTTCATAACCTCGTAACTCTTCTGGAGATTGTTTTCGTCGAATTGATGTGGAAGATGATACCGATGAAGTAGATGGCAACGAAGAAACTACAGTTGCATCAGACAGTTTTATACCGTCAAGTTTTTCATCCAACTTTTCATGAAATATGACATGCGCTTGACGTTTCCTTTTCTTCACTTTTCTCTATGGATCTTCTTGTAGAACATCATTTAACCGTTACTCATAATCGCGAATACCAGTACTTTTACTGCGATAGTTGAATTTCATAAAGAATTTTATCGGACGAGGATCACGGTTGTTTTTCAAAAAACATTTTTGCTCTTCGCGAACCTCGTGCGTTCTCATTTTAGCCAGAAATTTTACACAAGTAACGCGAGTCGTAACGCGCTTTGTTATTTTTATACTGATAAGCACATGATTTGATTTGTGCCACAAATTAAATATAAATTAATTATCTGACAAAAAAATTTTTTTCGTTAAAAGCATAGCTAGTTTACTCGAGCAGAAAAAACTGAGCTTATTCGCTTGTATTCTGCGGATGTTTTCATATAATATGAAAATCACAACCCCTGCGCAAGCGTCTGCTAGGTATTAAGTTGAAGGTCGGGAAAAGACTGAGCTCATTCATCTGGATATGCAGGGACGCTATTACCTTACATTGGGAGTCCTTTGCGAATGACTGCGCTCGACCAGATGGATACGCTTCAACACTTGCTATGCTTTTTCCTATGCTTTTTCCTTTGCTATACTTTCAACTTCGCATGGAGTATTTTTCATTTACTACCTCTTTCAACAAAGTAACATTTGTCTCACTTTTTTCCAATCAAAATTATTTAGTGCTATTGTGAAACTTTATTAATTTTCAGAAGTATTAGCGAAGTTACAAAGTGGAGAATGGTAGAATAGCAAGAGAAATGTATGATGTTATCAAAGAGGGAGGGAGCACGCGGATCCTAGGCCATTTAATGCGAGTCCCAACTTGTAGTCGTCCAAGAATCGAATTTGGAATAAATCTTCGGGGGAATTATGATGGCATCATGGAAAATCAGATCAACAGATTCGTTCAAAGACATAATAAAAGCCTTGATCGCTAACCATATGGGATCATACCCCTTGGATCAACAAAGGGTCTTTTTTTATTATTATTACGAATATCTGCAAGAAAGTTCGAGAATATTACGTATCTACA